TGTAGGACCCGCACAACTTCCACTTGCATTCTTGGCAGACACGTAAGTATTCCTCTTGGTTGTTCATTCGTCATCTGTATTTTTTTTAAATTATTAAAATCTTATACATCTATATTATCTGTTATATAGATTACCATTCAATTTATATCCAATAGTTCACATAGTTCCAAATGAAGCAAAGAAAAATCTTATCTTTGTATTTGCCAATAAGAAATCCATTATTTATGATTTAGATACTGCAACGGTAGTTAAAGCACTTCCTGATTTAGTCGGTGAATCACCACGTGTCTACCCATTGACCGGTACCTCCGTGTTTCTACCATTGAAACTGGCTTCAACATACAAAACTGAAATTATGATCTGTGGTGGTGGAACTGCTCAAGTGCCAAATGCACCTGCTGATTCAACATGTGGTAGAATGGATATTTTGGCTCAGAATCCTGTTTGGGAAATGGATAATTTCGGTGGTATAGGTCGTGTTTTGCCCGATGCTGTTATATTACCTGATGCAAAAGTTTTGTTCTTAAATGGTGGTGGTGTAGGTTTCGCTGGTTTCAGAAAAGGTGCAGCAGACAATGTAATATGGGCTTCTGATAAACCCGTATTAACTCCAGTCTTGTACGATCCTGATACAAAAACATACACTACACTTGCCGCATCCACCGTTCCTAGATTTAATTTAAATGAAGGAATTTAAATAATTGGATCACTTTAGAAATAACTTGAAAATAATTCTACACAGAAGGTTCAAGTAATACATTTAATTAGAATAAATTATTTCAAAGAAATCATGATAGAACCTTTAACATGTATAAATAACGTTATAATTTTCTCAACTTCACGCATAATTATTAATCATAATAAATTAATTAATAAATCATCTTTTTAATCATCATAACAAATAACACTGTCCTTGTCCTTGTCCTTGTTGTCTTTGAATATTATATTTTCGTAACGATAATAAATCTCTAACAATGAATACATACTAATCCCGTGCATAATTATTTTATATTTGTCTCTAATATTTTTATTATTTTTTATTTCTTTTCTTTTTTTCCTGATTCCCTTTAATATACCATCATGTAATATCTAAAAATTGTCTAGAACTTGCAATGAGGATCCAAATGTGAATTATCAGTACATGTGTATGGTGTTGGAAGATAGCAGTGTTCATACTGCTGAAATTTAGACATCTCTATTTAATTATAAGAAAAAATTCATATTAACATAATTCTGTAGTGAAAAAGTTGTTTTGAACTAATTTATTTAATATTGCTTAATTTAACAATAATATAGTGCATGGTAACTCATCTTGAATCTTAAACTACTTATTTAACT